TGTGAAGAGAGGACCCCGGTGACCTAACCAGCTGGTTCCAGCCAGAGGGTGCCAGAGGACAGAAGAGAGGAGAGGAGGCCACGGTAACCCTGTTTACCTGGAGAGACGACAATGGACAGAGGCGGGGCTTGTGGGAGGTGATATCAGATGCCCAGCTGGGAAGCAGAGGGGCTCTGGGCTGGAGAGGGAGAGCAGGCAGAGCCCACCTGGATGCAGGGGTGACTGGGATGTGCTGTGCTGAGGGAGGCCAGGCCCGAGAGCCCTGAGAGTTTCCTATGCTGTGTTCAGACACTCAATAAATCGTCCTGGTTTACACTGGCTGAGTGTCACTCCAGTCTAGAGAACAGGGTGGCATTATTCCCTTTGGGGAGTGGAGGGCCCGGGGGTCCAGAGAGAGTGGACTCCCTGAGGGGGCCCACGGTGAGAAACAGGTGTGCTAAGGCTCCGAGAGGTGGAGGGGCTTAACCCCCGAGAGAGAGTGGACCCCTGAGAAGGGCCGTCACACTGAAGGGGGTTCCCCCCACGGACCATACGGGACCAAGAGTGGGCACGATCTGTGAGTCTGTGACACTCTAGAACCCACCCAGCCGTGCATTTTCCTCCAGAATGGGGACATCAACATGCTGAAGCAATCTAGAACCCAGTCACTCCTGTGTTTACTCTAGAACACTCTCCAGTCGTGTGGTGCTCTAGAATGCAACCCTGCGGTTCCTGCATGATCTAGAATCCCACAAGGCACCACACCCAGACTGCCTGCACCCCGCTGCCTGGCCCTCTACATCTGCTTGTCTCACTGGGGCTCTAGAACCCTTGCTGCAGCTGGTTTTGGAGGATGCAGATAGCTGGAGCCCTGGAGGCCAGGGCTGAGAGGCACCCATTCCCACCTGTCTGAGTAATGCAGGACACACAGCACCGTGGCAGCCGAACCCTGGGGGGCTGCCGGGCCAGGGGCACTGCCCAGCAGAAGAAGAGATGTGGGGAGCATTCCCCTGTGACAACGTGGCAATTTTCATAATATTTTAATGACCCCTATGTGTGCCTCAGTTTCCCCTATGCATGGCTGCCCGTGTGGGGTAAAGGTCTGTTTTTGCTCTCAGGGCAGGCTGGGAGACAAAGCTATAAATGTCACCTGGCCGTCCGAGCTGCGATGGGTCGTTAACGAGGTCATGAAAACGGACTCACCGACCCCATGTCAATGGGCAATTGAAGAAGACAGCTGCAAAACTGATCACCAGGACGTAGCCCGCAGCCAGCCCATGACCCAGAGGAGCTGGGATTTCCCCGCCTCTCCGTAGGGGAGCTGGGCAGAGACCTCAGAACAGGGAAGGTGCATGATGGGGGGCACAGGAGCTGGCATCAGTCCTGGCAGAGTGGACAAGGCCCTCCAGCAAGTCGGGCTCCGTTGGCCATGAATGGGGTGAAGCAGAAGGGACTGAGGTGCAGCCTAGAGGCGCTGAGGCCATGTGGCAGAAGGATGTGAGCCCTTTTGGGGGTCTGGCACATCGTAGGGGCTCCACCAAGGAACTGTTCCAAAGCTGGGGGCATGGCCTCAATTCTGCACATCCGTGACACCCCCACAACCCCAGCTGGTGCCCAGCTCTGAGCTCAGGGCTGAGCAATGCAGTGCCCGTCCCCAGCTGGGCACTAGAGGGCTCCATGCACCAACAAATCTTGGCTAGGAGACAGGATTCCAGCAGAAAAATGTGAATGACCCTTAGGAATTGTTTGAGAACATTTTTACTAGGTGCCAGGAAAGCCAAGCTAGAGAACTGCCATACCAGTTCTGAAACCAACCTGGCTTACAGGGGAAGTGCAAGTGGCCCTAAAACACAAAAAGGGAATACATAGCAAATGGGAAAAAGGGAGAGTGGAAAGCAATGACTATCACTCAGAAGCTCTGAATTGTAGAAACTGGATAAGGGAAGCAAAAGGATGCGAGATGCACTCTGTGGCCAACAGAGAGAAGGACAATGAGAAGGAGTTTTTAAAGTATATTGGGAACAAAAAAAATCCTAAATGCTCTTGGCCCTGTGCTATTTAACATCTTTAACAATGACCTGGAAGAAAACATAAAATCATCCCTGATAAAGTGTCTGATGACACAAAAATTGGAAGAATGGGAAATATCGAAGAGGGCATGTCACTGATTCAGAGCGAGCGGGGTGGCTTGGTAAACAGGGTGCAAGCAAACACTCTGCGTTTTAATACAGCTAAATGTCAATGTATCCAGCTGGGACCACAGAATGTCAATGGGGGACAGCCCCAAAAGAGGCGACCCTGGCGTCTATAAACAGGGGAATCTGGAGAAGAAGCCCAGAGGTTATTTGACTTCTGTACTTGGCCCTGGTGTGAGTGCAGCTGGGACCCTGTGGCCAGTCCGGGAGCCTTCCAGAAGGGCTGTAGATAAATTGGAGAGGGGTCGAAGAGCCCGAGAGAAGAGACTCCAAGCATGGGATCAATTTAGCTGGACACAGGGCAGGTTGAGGGGCGACTTGGCTGCAGTCTGTGCATGACGATAGGGGCACAGCTCATTAATAATTGGGTTGTCAGAGGAAGATCTGCCCCATGGAAGGCTGGAAACTGAAGCCAGACCCATTCAGCCCAGAAAGCAGGCATCCCTTTGGGACCCGGCCCAAGTGACTAGGGTGCAGGCTGGGGCGCTGTGTGGGGCGAGGGGGCTGGTCCCACGGCGAGGGGCTGGGGCAGGGGTGGGCGGGGGAAGGGCACACAGTACCCTGTGTGCAATGTACATGCATCCTGCCCCATGGCTGGGAACAGGAAAGAGCCGCCGTGCACTCCCTGGCCCCCTGCGCGCCCCACACGGGGTGAAAGGTTCACATCTTCAAACCACGGCAGCTGCTCAGTCAGAGGCTGTGGGTAGGTACAGGCGGGTGCAGGGCGAGGCTCTGGGACCCGCGATGCATGGGAGGGCAGAGCATGATCACAATGAGCCCTTCTGACCTTACAGCCTCTGGGTCTAGGAGGCTGTGAACTGGGGCTGCCCAATGTCCAGCCCCCATATGCACCCCAAGATCCACCCCCACAACCCATATCCTCCCACCCCCCAATCCACCCCTACAACAATAAACCCCCTGCCCCCAATCCACCCCTACACCCATACCCCTCACTGCTCACACCTAGATCCACCCCTACACCCCATATCCCCCCTGCTCCTCCCAGATCCACCCCTACATCTCCCACTGCCCCCACTGCTCCTACCCAGATCCACCCCTACCCCCATAGTCCCCTGCCCCGATCCACCCCTAAACCCCATATCCCCCCGGCTCCCCGATCCACCCCTACACACCATCTCTTCCACTGCCCCCACTTCCCCCACCTAGATTCACCCCATACCCCATATCCCCCCAGCTCCACCCCTATACCCCATACCCCCCTGCTCCCCAATCCACCCCTACACCCCATATCTCCCACTGCCCCACCCAGCTCCACCCCTACACCCCATATCCCCCCTCGCTCCCCAATCCACCCCTACACCCCTTATCTCCCACTGCCCCCCACCCAGATCCACCCCTACACCCCATAGCCCCCTGCCCCAATCCACCACTAGACCCCATGTCCCCCCTGCTCCCCAAACCAACCCTACACCCCATGTCCCCCC